ATATTTTAATGGGAATTGATAAAACAGACTTTATGATATAGAAATGGATTTTATCAGTAGCGGATAATATTGCACGATACGTCGCGTCGATGAAATATCGACATATTATCATTTATAAATATAGGACCGTCTATCAGTGTCAGTTTACATCAGATTGTCGAAACACCGTTTGTGCTTGCAAAAGGAAAAAATAGAAAGTGCATACAAGTGCCATGATAAAAATAACTGTATTGCCTGCGTAGCGCGATATACATATACACCGTGAGCGATGCATTCAACAATTTCCTCACGTAACGAGAGAAGACGCGTTTGTTTGACGGCTTTTCGCACGCGTGTAACGAAGAAAAAGACTTCCACATGATTCTCTTGTAAATAACGCGATACCGCTGAAATCGATACGAATTAGTAATATAATTAAACAGGTAATCCAACAGTGTTAACAATTGAAGGAAATCGCGATATTATTGACAATTGTTTAGACAACGCGACAGGCTCTTTCTCCTATTTTTCATGTAAAATACTTCGTAGCACGGAATTGTAAAATTAATTGCAAATTTTCCTTAACAAAAATAACGTTTACAAGTGAAATCTTACGTTCCACGGGCACACGCAACGTGATATAACCTCAAAATGACAACTGACTGGTAATGTTGATTTCTCTTCCAGCGGATATATTAATCAATTGCTGAGTATTATTTAAAAATAAGACGACACATCATGGCTGGGCAACAACATCCTTTTCTATCTGGGTTTCCCAATGTGCAGCAATCTGCTATGCGTACACAGTTTGGTGGCGGACAAATGGTTTCTGGTTTGATGGGGCCGCAGCAGGGCAGTAAGTATTTGAAGATTTCTTATTATTTATAATGTTTTTATGTGTGTACGTCGGTTTATATGTGTCTGATTATTGCTGTATATAATTTTAAATATGGAGTATAAGTATGAAGTAGATATACATCCACTTTTATAATCCATGTTTACTTTCAATTGACAGTACTATCTATATCTCAACGTTATGTGAAAACTCAGAGTTTTAATAATTGGAGTATTATGACTTGATCTTTAAAATCAGATTTTTATACATTTTGATTCAATTTCTCTGAGTAATTTAAATTTTCTAAGTCGTTCAATAGTTTCAAGTAAGTTTGAAGGAATTGAAGCGATTTAAATTGTTCAATTATGTTAAGTATATATTAAGTACCAATTTTAATTGTTGTAAAACTAATAGCTCATAGTTATTAAATTCTACTTAAAAGCTATGGTTTACGAAATAAAATAGATTGGCTATTTAAAAGTTATTTAAAAGATTGATACCTATGGAGATATTTGCGAGCAATACATTCTAGTATCTATAAAATGGCTAGATAAAATTTTGATAGTGGAGATTAGAGAAAAATAATGACTATTGTTTCAGATATGGTAAGCTCTCAACAGTTTGGCATGGGAGTCGGAGTTGGAGTAGGTGTGGGCAATGTCGGATCTAACGCCATGGGAATGCCCAATTCCCAACAAGTCTTGGCGCAACAGCAACAACAACAACAGTCCATGGCGATGCAACAGCAAATGCAGCAGATACAGCAGCAACAATTGCAATTGCAACAGCAGCAACAGGCTGCAATGGTTCAACAGAATAATCAAACCAATCAGGCCACAACACCACAGACTCCAGTACCGCCCACACAGCAGCCACCACTGCGACAGCAGCAGACCAAGGAATTCAATACCGCTAGTTTATGTAGATTCGGGCAGGAGACCGTACAAGAAATCGCCAGTCGTACTTTAGAGCTCTTCCAAACACTTAAACTCCTCCAACCACCCAATGGTTAGTTTCCTAAGTAATTAGAATATTGCGAAAAATATATATATTCTTTCTATACATACATTATATTTACAAATGTAGGTACTGCACAAGGGGCGAATGTGGCGAACGAGAAAAAGAAAAAAGTCTTTGATCAGTTGGAAATGATCAAAATGATGTTCAAACGCCTGAGATTGATATATGAAAAGTGCAACGAGAATTGTAACCTACAAGGAATGGAATATACACATATAGAAAGTTTAATTCCGTTGAAGGAGGAATGGGATATGAAATCTGATGAGAAGAAGACTTCGGAAGCTTACAGACTCACCTGCGAGGAGAGGAAGGAGGTTATGGAGGTGAGGCGAATAACATTGTTGTCGACATTATTACATAATTCTTCTATTAAATCTCGATAAAAAAAATGGAATCTGTTTTCTTTTTTCAGCAAGTAATATTAAAGAATAGGCATATTAAAGAAATAATCGACCACCTGAGACGCATTATTTCGGAAATAAACACAATGTTAAATATGCGTCGATCTTAGGTTACCAAATATAGATAATTATGTTTGCATATATATTATTCTAAATAATACATTAAAAAAATAAATTTCTTTTTACAACACGTTTGGGCATTGCAATTTTCATCTGCTTAACTCACACACGTCTATCCTTCACTCATCGATATCAATGTTGTCTATGTCTAAACAAATTATGTCACTGCTTCGGAGGATGGCTTCCGGTATCGTTCCCATTGGTGTCTCCAAGTTCCTGACAAAAACCTTGGAACATTCTACGTCGCAACCTCTGAATTCACCCGACACATGTGTATTTTCGTGTAAATGAAATTCTGCTGGTTTACCTATAATAATATATTTGAATATTAGCCGTGATAAACGTTAATAAAAATTATTTACACCGACGTGAATGAGCGTTAATAATAGTTTCCTTTCTTTAACAATACCTTGCGACAAAAATATTTCTTACACAAATACGTATAGCAGTAACAATTATTTTAAAAAGGATTGTGCGAAATTAAATGGTTTTTTTTCGGTTGACGCAATACAAATAACTTTAAGAGAAAGAGAGAGAGAAACAGATATTAAAATTACTTCAATATCTCATTCACTTTACCGACGAAAATCATTCTTTTTGAGCTTGATTGAAAATGAATTGGTGCAGAAGATTAAACGTGGACTTTCTTACCGATAATGCCGGTAATGACACGCAGAAAACGTTCACGCAGAAACGCACGGGCCTTTTGTTTCTCCGGAGTTGCGAATGTCAGATCAGCTCTATCCGTGTTCAAATTAATTTTGTCGTGTTCAGTCATTTTCCGTCCAGGAAACGTTCTGTTCCGTCTCGAGACTGACGCTACGAGATACTCATGGCGGAATGAAGATCGCGTGCGCGTCGAAGAGAAAGTTTTGGCGCTTTATTTGAATTTTCCACAAAGCACTACCAGTCAACATTCATAATGATGTGATCATCAGAATATCAGACAGGCTATCCGGTAGCGAATTAAAGTCGGTATTCATAGTCATTTCTTATATTTAAGACAGTCTTAAGTATTAGCATCTCTAAGATAAATAAGGTGAATGTACTGTTTGTGGTTATTGCGCCTATTTTGGACGACTTTGTTATTTATTAAATTTCTAATTCAAGATTGAGTGTAGTGTGCAACAATCGCGACATATGTACGTCACAACTGTTTTTCTCGATTATGTAATGCGATAGATTATCTCACATTATTTCTTACGTTGCAAAAAAAATTGTTTATTACAAAGTATTATACCTAAGCCACAAGGACTACTATGTAACTTATGTAAGAGAATGCACTGAGAAAAATGGTTTGTTTGTACCAACAAGATGTATATGGCTGAATGAATTTTGGTGAAACCAAACAGAATTTCGGATTATAATAAGAGGATTTGATATTGTATTACTAGAACGTTTGATAGACTTTACTATACGGATTTAATTAATATTTTCTAGTTAGATCTACAAAATTTCTGGTTATATTA